TGAGAATCTCAAAAGGTCTGTCTTCAAATATTCATTTTAAATCAACAACTAAAACTAATTCCGGAAGAAGTGTCCAAATCAAATCTGGGTTGTATCTATAGAGAATAAGAGAATACTTTTTTTAAAAAAAAACTTATCTATTTATCAATAACAGTTCACGTTTTATTTATATAAACGGCAGCGTAAACTGTACCAACTCAGTTTATACCGTATAAATTGGGTAGCTATTCAATTCATTCCATAAATAAAAGAGAGGTAATTCATGTCAATTTTCATTGCATCGCTGGTTTAAAAAATACCTTATTTTAATGCTCCTATTAATTTTTTTTGTATGTGCATCACGATGAAACTGCTGGACATTAAATTTAAGAAAAAAACTATCCTTAAAACTTGTTTGTTTGACCTTTTAAAATGAATCGACTAGAATCTTTATAAAACTTCCAAAATATTCTTTCTGGAATTTTCTCATCCTATCAACAACTTTTTTTTAATTTCAGAAATCTTTTTCAACTCTGAAAATTTCCGACAAAAAAGAAATTCGACCCAACTACCGATACAATTTTTTAACCCGAATAGGGACAGGGCAAATAAACTTCATTTTAAAAACGGCTTTACGGGAATGTTTCAGCCACCACTGGAAATCTTTAAAAAAAATACCCACCTAATTGTGAAAAGGAAAGATCACACAGACACTTGACGGAGATTAAGTTCTTAATGAATAAACTACATCACATTACATCCAAAATCTGTCTTAGCATATAAATAAAACAACATCCCCTTGTTCTACTTGGAACGTTTTTACGTCGCATTTACCTTGTTGACTTTAGACGCGTCTTTTGACGTTACGTCATAACAGAGGTTTTTTGCTTGGCGCGTCACATATTAAATAGTTTCTGAAGTTTTCGTACACACGTATGTCTAGATTTCCGTCCCTCCAGAAAAAAACTTTGACTTTGCCTAAATCTACACCTTAATTTTAATTTGATGGGACTTTAGTATTCCATATTTCTATTTCTTGTTTGATGACCTTTATTTCGATATCATATTCGACTTTGTGGAATCGACCTTCTTGTTTGGTCATCTTTCGCAGAATGTGACCAAGCTTTGACAAAAAGAAAATGTGCTTTCGTCTTCAAAATTATTTTAAGTATCCATAGTGTTCGATATATCCAAGTGAGAGATACCAAAGTTCCGATGTACATGTAATTACAAAAATAGCAGCTATCTGGATGCAGCGCTTACAAAAATTTACACATTTACTACTGATGTGTCTATAGAAATGTCGACAGCGTTGATTTTTGTAAAGCCATTACATATATATCACAATATAGTCAAAAAGCTTTAATTGATTTGCTTAAATCTATTACCACCAGCAGCATGTCAGGAAATGATGAACAAGTGAAGAACATGAAATATATAATCGTGTATGTCTACCCCTTTAACTATGTTTATATACATACTTATACCTCTAAAGGAGTTGTGATATAATTCCACTGATTATTTCATCAAATGTAATGCTGTCTTTCATAGATAGTAAATGTGCAGGAACATGGACAACAAAAAGAAGTACTATGCCTACATATTTAGTAGCAAAAAGAAAAATTATTTGAAAGCTTACATTGTACATGTTTGATCATTTTTTCCGCCATCAAACATCAGACAAAGGAGATAAAAGAGGAAGAGATGTATAAGACATCTTTTATAATCAAATGAATTTATACAGGTAAAATAACTACCTATGATCAATATATGTTTTAAGTACCATGTGTTGAACATATGTTAAACATACGTTGATGAACATATGAGTTTTCAACAGTATGTTTAACATATCTTTAAAAACTATGTTGAACATATGTTTAAAGTAATTATGTGTTTTGTGGTAAGGATATTTTAATATGCATGTATGTATAACATATATCAAATATAATATTTATGATTGTTACAAACAAACATTTAAGATATGTTTTTAGTGTAACACTTTAATACGTTTAACATGGACGTAAGAAAAAAGTTCAATGGCCCAATTTTCCTGCCCATAAGCTGAGTGTTTTACCAGACAATGAAGATAAATAGAGAATAATGCATACCATTTTCCGTATCACATCCTGTATCAGCCTGAGACACCAATATCAGCCATAGGCCGAAGTAATAATACTTAGTAATAAAATACAACACACATTCAGATGAGAAGAAATTAAGTAAATAATCATGCATGGACTTCTAACATAGATGTACATGGTCTATTGTCTCATACGATTTGGGTTTGTCTTACTTCTATTTCAATGCACTGGATCGGTAATCTGAAAATAATTTATTATTTTTAAATTAGATAATCCTTATTTTCAAAAAGTTAAAATTAAGAGAATATATGAACCCACCAAAACATTGTGTATAATCACAAGTACTGTTTTGTGGTTTGATTTATTAAGGGTGTGATACATGTAATGATCGGTATCAGCCCTGTAGGGCTGATACCTTTATCAGCCCTGCAGGGCTGATACGGCTATTGTGACGTCAGGCATATCGCATATATGCAAAAATCATGTATTTATTACAAAGTATGTACAGGGATGGGGTCAATTACATAGAAAAGTAATTAATTAAATTACAATTACTTTCCCAAAACCTTCAATTAAATTACCATTACCATTACATGGATTTTGATATGTAATTAATTAAATTACAATTACTTTACAAATTTAATTAATTAAATTACAGATTACATTCAAAAATACACGTATAAAGCTAAATAGTGGTGTAAATTCCTTTACACTCATAACATATTATTTTACAACATTTTTACAATAATAGTATCAAAATTTTCATACTTTTCAAATACTGTGTCCCCTAACTTATCTCTGTTAGATTTGAAGATTTTCCTGCCATGCTGAAGAATCTTTCCACTGGTTTTTTTTTTTAGAAAAATGCAAACATATACCGTAGATACTGACTAGTAGAAAGTTTACTCACAGTTTTACCAGAATTCGTGTGTTATAATTTTGGAATCATTTTAACCTTTCCCATGAATTTATGTTAAATGTACAGTTGATTCTTTTTGCCTAAATATTTGAAATTCCTAATTTCAGCATCATAAGTTTATCTCAAAATGTGGATATTTTACTTATTCTGTGCCAAACTACAATTTAAAGTCAAAAAGTGTGTATATTAACACTAACAGACGAAGTTAAATGTGTGAAAAATGTTTATTTAGGAATAAGTACATGACCCCAGGGCACTAATTAGCACCTGTTTAAAATAACTTCTAACACAAGCTGAAGATATGGCAAACAAAATAAATAGAAGCCATTGGACTTTAAATTTTCATACGGATTAATTAATTAAAAAATCAAAATACTAATTTTATTTGTTAACTTTACAAAGATTTATTTGATTATAGAGTTAAAAAAAAAAGAAAATTGACGTCATCAATTTACTTTAAAAAGGGAAGCTCTTTTCAAGAAATTTTACTATTAAAATTATTTGGTCCAAAAGATCAGTTAACCTTTCATAAATACTGTTGATAAAATTGAGGGGGAAGGGGCTATTTTTCATTTATTTAAAATCAGTGTAATTGAATGTAATGAAAAAGTAATTGTGAATTACATGCCTTTTTGGAAAGTAATTAATTAAATTACCATTACTTTTAATTGAAAATTTAGTCAATTACACATTACATTCAATGACATTCAATTAAATCAAAAATTGTAATTAATTACAGTCAATTACCATTACACATTACCATTACCCCATCCCTGAGTATGTAATGAATGCAAATATATACATCTATTCATTTTCCAAAACGGGTCTCAAATGAAGAATTTATCTTTACAAACATGGTCAGTGATACTCTGATAAGAGAGATAACTTTCATTGACATAAAATGTACACGTCGTCTATTATTGCTTCATAGATGTTGAAAGGGATTTTTTGTCCTATTTTATCCTGGAAGCTATGCTATAACTGTTAGTATTTTACATATAAAATACATTTCTTTTGGAAAATCTTTAGGCTTCAAGCATCATTTATAAGTTAAGATATACTAACATATACTAGCATATTGCAGATTTCTAAAGGAATTTCAATAAGTACATGTAGCTCAGATTAACAATTTTACCCTTTGTTTTAATGCAATTTTAACAAATGAATGAATATGATAGCACCCTTCTTCCTCCTATCGAATTTCTTTCAAATCTCCTTTGTAGTCTTTTTCCTTTTTTATGTTATGAAACAAAAGTCTAGTTAGGACAATGGTAATAGACAAAGTTAGGCTAAGTGCGTCTTGGAAATTAAAGGAAAAACAAGAATCTGTAATTTTGAAAAAACAACAAAAAAACTACCAATACTGATATTTGTAGTGTAAACATTTTTGTATATATTTTTTAATGAAAATAATTATGCCAAAAATGTTGAAACACATTTGAAAGACAATCAAATAAATAAATAGATAGATAAGAAAAACAAATACTTTGCTCATTAACTCATAGCCAGATATATGCATGTCATATTTTTTCCTGATTTGCTTGGCGGAAATGATATAGGTTAGGGGATGTCCTTTGGAACCCAGCTTGTAATATTACTGGTATATATAGAGGAATTGAAGAGAAACATAGGATCTCCCAATGTTCATGTCTTACCCTTGTGTCATTAATAAATGACACATTTACAACAGCATTCACTCTTACTTATGTGTTCTGGCTGAACAAAACGAAACTGCAGGAAACAATATGATTGAAAATTTTCATTCTGAAGAAGCATTAACACGTATCTAGCTATTTTAAAAGAAATAGAGGATAGTCAATGTTTTGTAGTTGAATATGGAATTTATTTCACGAGTGGGACAGGATTTTTGATATTTTCACGAGTGCGAAGCATGAGTGAAAATATAAAAAAATCCTGTCTCAAGAGTGAAATAAATTCCATATTCAACTACAAACATTGAATTTTCTGTTTATTACATTTTTAAAACAAAATCTTCGAAATTTCCTTTGCCTCTGTCTTTTTGTATTACAGTCATAGGCTACATGACGTCATAGTTGAGCGGTTGAGACGTCATAGCTAGTGAGGTGAACACACTGTAAACATGGATTTAGCGACATATTTTTCGTAATTTTGACAGTTTTATTCGCTGTCAGAATTGATTATTATCTCCATTTATCTTATATTAGGTCAAGGAAGCTTTTTCTATAGCAATCATCGTTATGGGAAGGGAGATCGAGAGTTTTCCCGCACTTCTGATATTCGTAACACTGTGACAGGATATCATTTTTATTCAATGAATAAATTACAATATTTCACGGGTAAAAATGTAATAATAATCCTTATTATACAGTTTATATATGTAACACTGGTGGAGGTGGTGCATCAGGAACAATGCTGATGTATGGCTTTCCTTGTTCATTTATCTCGGAATTGTCGACGATTTTATTTGGATCGTATGCAGAGTTAATATGTATATCTCCCGATAAAGAAGGCCCATTTAGGCATACAGATCCTACGGTAAGTATTAAACTATTCTCGATGCCACTCCGCCTCACTGGGAAACAACATCTTTCATATAGCAAATGTTTTGTCTCAGAAAAGTTTCTCTCCGTCTTACACTGTAAAAAAATATTGTTTAATTTGTGTTGCAATAAAAAACATTCATGATTTATAATAAAACATAATGTGTTCAAATACGAAACACGTGCAGTTTTTGTACAAACACAAAGTATTTAAACTAGTGCTCAGTAAGTATTTAAATAGTGTTTCAAATCACCCAATGTTAACATATGATGTTCATATGCATCGAATCAGAAATAAATAATTAGTTGTTTTGCATTCTCATTTTGTAAAATTTCTTAATTCATGAAGTAATTCAGCTTAAAATAGTGTATATTTTTTGGACAGAGTTAAAATTGGATTATAAGTTACAGAAATATTTACATTTGCAAATGTTTTCCTTTATATATTTACATTTGCAAATGGTTTCCTTTATATAACACCACTGAAAGCAAGCGTTTTTATAACTGTATAAATACAGGTATGGGGTCAAGAGGTCATAGATGTTCGTATGGATTAACGTTCGAGGTAATTTCTCAGTGACGTCATAAAGGGTCGACGCGCGTTCAGTGGCTTACATACATGCCGTTGGGTTTGAAAAATAATGCATTTCACACGTTAAAAGTCACAATCAGGCAAATTTAAAGTATGAATAAGTCACAAATGGAAATATAAGTAATTAGGTAACATTTTTTTTTTAGTTTTATTGGGATGTAAAACGGGTTGGCACATGATCAAATCTTCCATAAAGCCCTTCGGGCTTTATGGGAATTGATCACGTGACCAACCCGTTTTACATCCCAATTAAAAACATAGGTAATCAGAGATTACAGAGCTCACCTCAACGAATGTTGTCTTTAAATAAGGCAAAGTCACACAATTAACCAACAAAAAGTGTACATTCCAAAAATGAAAATATCTAAGCAATTTTGATCTGATACTTTGAAGTAGACCAACATAAAAAATTTAAAGTAGTTCTTCTTCATGAAAATGAAAGCATCTAAAGCAAATTTGAGTTTTCATCTCTTGATGCAACATTTGTGCAAGTTTGGTTAATACAATGTTATAAAAGCCTTAAAGTTTTTTGGTAATAGACCTGCAACCATAACTTTAACCTGGTCTATTATCTGAAAAATATATGTCGAATTCAGCATCCGAAGCAAGTCCATTAGTGTGCATCCTAAGATGTATCGTCCATGCAAGTTTGCACATTATCAGGCTCATAGTTAATTGGAAATGAAACATACATCAAAAACTAACATTTTCACTAATCCACAAAATGTAGGTCAGATTCAGCATTCGAAGCAAGCCTGGTAGTATGCATCCTAAGATGTATCATCCATGCAAGATTGGTCATTAAAGAAATCATAGTTACTTGGAAATGAAACCTGCACCAAAAACTTTTACTTGTTCACTCAACCGGAAAATGTAGGTCAGATTCAGCATCCGAAGCAAGCCCGGTAGTGTGCATCCTTAGATATATCATCCATGCAAGTTTGGTCAACATAGGGCTTTAAGTTACTTGCAAATGAAACCTGCTCCAAACACTTTAACCTGTTCACTCAACTGGAAAATGTAGGTCAGATTCAGCATCCGAAGCAAGCCCAGTAGTATTCATCCTTAGATGCATCATACATGCAAGTTTGGTCAACATAGGGCTCATAGTTACTTGGAAATGACACCTGCACCAAAAACTTAAACCTGTTCACTCATCCAGAAAATGTAGGTCAGATTCAGCATCTGAAGCAAGCCCGGTAGTATCCATCCTTAGATGTATCATCCATGCAAGTTTGGTCAACATAGGGCTTATAGTTACTTGGGAATGAAACCTGCACCAAAAACTTTAACCTTTTCACTCAACCGGAAAATGTAGGTCAGATTCAGCATCCGAAGCAAGCCTGGTAGTATCCATCCTTAGATGTATCATCCATGCAAGTTTGGTCAACATAGGACTTACAGATACTTGGAAATGAAACCTGCACCAAAAACTTTAACCTGTTCACTCAACCGGAAAATGTAGGTCAGATTCAGCATCCGAAGCAAGCCTGGTTGTATCCATCCTTAGATGTATCATCCATGCAAGTTTGGTCAACATAGGACTTACAGATACTTGGAAATGAAACCTGCACCAAAAAACTTTAACCTGTTCACTCAACCGGAAAAAGTAGGTCAGATTCAGCATCCGAAGCAAGCTCGGTAGTATGCATCCTTAGATGTATCATCCATGCAAGTTTGGTTAACATAGGGCTTATAGTTACTTGGAAATGAAACCTACACCAAAAACTGCACCAAAAATGTTAACCTGCTCCAAAAACATTAACCTGGTCATTCCTTTGCTAAAATTGCAGCATCTGAAACTGTGACTGGTACAATGAAACACACTAGAACCATCTTCCATGCATGTCTAATCAATATAGGACATAGAAGTACTTAAAAAGAAAACTGCTCCAAAAAACTTAACCTTAACCCGGGACGCCGACGCCGACACCGACACCGACGCCGACGCCGAGGGTATTACATAAGCTCCCCCAACTTCGTTGAGGTGAGCTAATCAAAAAGTCATACCTTATTTCTTAAATAACACTACTGAAAGGAATGCGTATCTATAACTGTATAAATACAGGTGTGGGGTCAACAGGTCATAGATGCGCGTATGGATAATCGTTTGAGGTAATTTCTCAGTGACGTCGCAATGGGTCGACAGGCGTTCAGTGGACTTCATACTTGCCGTTGAGTTTGAAAAATAATGCTTTTCACACGGTAAAAGTCACAATCAGGCAAATATAAAGTATGAATAAGTCACAAATGTAAATATAAGTAATAGATATCATTTTAAAACATCTATCGGGCTAAAAATACGGGTTGGTACGAGATTAAATTCATCATAAAGCCCTTCGGGCTTTATGGAATTTAATCTCGTGACCAACCCGTATTTATATCCCGATAGATGTTTAAAAATGATACCTTATTTCTTAAGGAAAAACGTTGACATAAGTTCATACCAAAAGCAATTACAACAGTTACTAGAAAATCTGTCATTGCAAGCAATATAGCGTATATCAACCCAAAATAAACCATGCATAAGCTATAAGATTTTTCAATGATTAAAGAAGTGAGTATTTGGAGACCCCCCCCCCCCCCATTCCTTACCTCCTTTCACACGTAGAGAAAGGTTCACGGCCTAACATACCCGCAGTAAAAAAAATACTAGTAATACCTGATTTTTTTCCTTTTCAAATAGAGCATTTCAAGCTTTTTCATCGTTCACTAAATTATTCACATTTATTTTATCTTTTGCTCATCTACGCTCAATGTGAGCTTACCCGTATATGATTCTCTGATTTACATTTTGTTCTTTTTGGCACAGCTGGAGGAACATCTTCGTCTTGAGATCGTGAATAACAGCAACCCATAGTTGGTCATTAGAGTTGAAAAGCTGCTGGATGATAGAAACCAGAAGTCTCTGTCGAGACTGTAGCTATACTGGTTTGTACTAATAATAAAGGAAGAGAAAAGTAGCAATCGGGAAACGAAACTTTACAAAAGCAATAAGTAAAATAACGATACTTGACTAAGTGTCTTTTTGTTACAAGACTGCAATAAGACTACAACCGTAGGAGTAGCTTTTGATAAAATTTTACAGAAGGTTCAATCTTAGCTACCATAGCGACACCGTTCATCAAAATCCAAAACACAAAACAGATAATCATGTATCTCAGTGTAGTCTACTTTCAGGCAAAGTTACATTGAAATCAGACCAAAACTGTAGAAGGAGTAGCATTTTAATAGTATTTCACAGACAATTTCTAATTTTAGTAACCAGGGCAACACCGTTCATGAAAATCAAAAACCGATACACAGAAGTATGTGTCTTAGTGTAGTCTAATTGTTACCAAGTTATAGTTAAATCAAAACAAACACATTGGAATGACCGTTCACGGTAGCTCAGTCGGTAGAGCGCTCGCTCCGTGAACGGGAGGTCTTGAGTTCCTATCTCGGCCGCGACTGACCCAGTCGATAAAAAATGGGAAGCAACTGTTCCTTCGCTATAAGCTCGGCACTTTGAAGTGAAAGTTGCGGGTCCTTCGGATGAGACCTTAAAAACCGAGGCCCCGTGTCAGCGGAAGGCGTTGGCACAAAAAAGATCACTCACTGCTCAATGACCCTGAGTGCCTAGTAAAGGTCAAAATTTGAAGCCCTTCACCGGCATACGGTGACTTCTCCATATGAGTGAAAAATTTCCGAGAGGGGCGTTAAACAATATGTAATCAATCAAATTGGAAGAGTAGCATTTTAAAAATATTTCACAGAAATTTCTATTTTTAGTAAGCACGGCAACACTGTTCATTGAAAGCAACAACCGATACACAAAATTATGTATCTTAGTCTAGTCTACATGTGTGCCAAGTTATCTTGAAATCAGAACAAATCTGTAGGATGAGTATCATTTTAAAAGAATTTCACAGAAATTTCTATTTTCAATGACCACGGCAACACTTCTCAACGAAATTAAAAACCGATAAACAGAATTATGTATCTTATTGTAGTCTTCTTGTGTCCCAAGTTATTATCATCTTGAAATCAGACCAAAACTGTAGGAGGACTAGCATTTTAAAAGTATTTCACAAAAATTTTTATTTTTAGTAACCGCGGCAACACTTTTCAACAATATCAAAAAACCGATAAACAGAATTATGTTTCTTAGTGTAGTCTACTTGTGTACCATGTAATATTGAAATCAGACCAAACTGTAGGAGGAGTAGCATTTTGAAAAATTGTTTAAAGACAGACAGACAGACAGACGGACGGACTGACGACGGACGCATTACTATCGCATAAGCTCTCTGCCTAGTAAAGCACAGATTTTTCTGTAGTTATAAATTCAGTCTCTATATGAGGGCTACTTGGACATTATTGAGACACAATGTATATGTTTCTTTCTAATGAACGTCTTTCATTGACGTTGGTCAGTTGTTCGAGCGTCTGCTCTAGAGTCGCGAAGTAAGGAGTTGATCGGGGTTCCAATCCCACTATTGGACGTTAAGACCGGTATATCGGACGAGGCCGTATAAACTGAGGTCCCGTCTCGCAGTAAGTGATGGCTCGAAAAAGATCCTTCCCTGCTCAATGGCCCTTAGTGCTGAGTGTAGGACAAAATGTGCACCTCTCCATCGGCAAGTGGTGGCGTCTCCATAGAAGTGAAAAATTCTCGAGACGGAAGTTTATCAATATACAATCAATCAATCTACCTTTCGGTGAATTCTTGTTTCGGTGAATATTTTGTCACATATACGCTACCGTATTTAACCATCTTTCAAAGATTTAATATCAATATCATAATCTGAAGTTATTTTATTTCTATTCTGTGTTATCATGGGTATATTACGAAGCATTTAAGAAAACAAAAGGCATATAAAATTGATCTCGACTTTTAAAATAAACTCCACACTTTACCTTTAACTGTTGGTTTATCCTTTATTATTGTTTTGGCGTAGATAAGGCTATTGGGAATCCCCGCTTTAGAATAATTCATAGTTCCGAGCGTTATCTTTATAAATACCCCACCCTTTTATATCATCTTTGACTTGCATTACAAACATATGGTGTTCAGTTAGGGCCACGGAGCTAGGTTAAGGACTGCCAAAGGTATATCAGTCTATGCAAGGCTTCGGGAAATCTATTATGATATCCACACCCCTACTAATGTGTTCGGAACCTTTTATTTTTCGGTGTTCTGCAAATTATAAAACCCGATGAGTTCAGAGTAGCTCTGGTAGTGGCTCTGGCGAGAGTTACGGAGACTTCAGCGAGATAGGGTAAATTATTCACGGAAATGTGGCTAGGAAGTGACTTGCACGTGGAGGCATAGTAAACAGAAAAGTTATGTTGCGTTTCAGTTTTCACCACCCTAGAATCTGCTGATAATGTCTGTAGAAATGTACTTCAATCAATCGATCTCTCTTACATTCATTCAAACTTAAATAAGAACTCTCTATAATACAATTTTCTGCAGTCATGAATTAAAATTTCTTTTGGGACAAATATTTTTGCATGGGAACCGGGACTATATTTTTTGGCGTCAGATTAGCAAATGAAGCACCAGCGTGATTTTAACTGACCAATCAGCTGAATGAGTATTGCATTATGGGTTACTACGAATACTACAGGAATTTTACGCTTTAAAAAAAAGGAAAATCTTACGGTAAAACTAAATAAAAAGCATTTTTAAAAATATCATTTTCATGCTCATAATGACAAACAATTCATTTGTTAAATAAACGGCGAACGTCTAGGTTTCTGAAAGTCACACTGCAAAAGCGATTTGCGTCTGTAGTAATTCCTTTGTTGTAGTATCGGTGAATACATTTGCCAGGTGAATTCCCTGGCTGAACACGTGATCACGGACGTAAACAGAGTTTTGTCCATTTAAATGCAGATGCTGCTCATTTTCCTTACCCTTGAAGCGCTGGTGTTCTGAACTAGACACAAACTACATTTTATTAAACATTTTCTTTTCCATTAAACAACAAATTAAAAACGCCCATAACATCTTTCATAATTTCTTATCTTTGTATTTTGTTCGTAGGAACATTTTTTGTTATTAATTTTTGCAGTCCATTTACTTGATCGTAGATTGACCTGAACTACGTGTTCGAAGTAAAATGTAAACATGTATTTGGCGTAAACGTTGCTATTCATAATCATTCAACGATTGGTCAGTTGCTCGTGATAAGATCCTCTGTGCGCATTTATAACAATAGCCATATAAGGCAAACAAAGGTTTGTCAGTGTAGATGATAATGCACATTTTTTACCAGCGAATCGGTCACTAGTGAGCTCTAATTTTCGTCGAAAAGTATAAGATATATTGTTAATTTTACATCCCCTCCTTTAGCCACCCTTTTTCTGTTGAACATCATGAAAGTCTTTCAGAAAAGTCTGGAAACATTAATTACAGGACATGTTTTCACAAGAAACAAGCTATAGCAATATCATGTTTACTGCAAATTTTATTTATAAAAACCGGTTCTACCCTATAACCTTTGAATAGATCAACCTAAACCACGTGTCTTGAATTTAAATCACATTAACATTAGTAGGGGTGATCCAGGTAAAACTGCACAAATGAATCTCGTCGAATAAATATATATTAATTTTCTTTTTCATACACTTTTACAGACACTGATTTTCTTCCAATTATTGTAAATATAAATCTAATGTGAAACTTATATCTTGTCATTATTAAAAACTGTTTGAATGTAAAATTAAATCTGGATCTCCCTATACTGACAGATATGACGTCATAGACTAGTTTGACACGTAGTTTTTCTGAATTTGAGGCGCATATTAAGCTATTATTGCAACTTTTAAATGTGAAATTTTAAACTAAGTAAGCGTGTTCTGAATAAAATTGAGTCATATAGTCTTAAATGCATTAATCATTATTTCACAGTCTTATTTAAGTGATAACGAATAGGTCTCTTATAGAGCTGCATTCATGTACTTTGATACACAAGCGTCCTAAAATCACAGGCACAACCCCTCGAAAATCTCAAAAGTTCAACGATATGCGCTTTACTTTATATTATAGTATTTTGTACCCCGGTACCTATTGTCCCTTCTATTTTGAAAGGTAATGGTAGCAAGTTGTGGGCTGTTGATTTTTCCGTGATTTTACATCATCTCAATGCGTATAGTGTAAATGCACGAAGTTTTAAAAAAGAACGGCTAAATTTATATGTAATTCCAGGGCATGGGGAAATTGCACCCTTTTCGGGTTAAGAATTTTGTCTTAAAAAATCTATATCAATTTCTTGGTGAAAAATTATCCGTATATATTTGAACTTTCACAATCTTAATTCGTGTCTGTTTATATTTTTTTTCTAATTCTAACCATGTCACATGACAACCAGCTGATGTGCGTAAAGTCGCTTTGGGGTCGAACTCGGTTGAGACCTCATTCATACATATGCATTTGTACAATGTCTATTAAATTAAAACTCATGCTAATAAAAAAAAGATATCAATTTCATATTAATTTTCTTGGAATATTTTTAATTAAAGCATATATTTCCTATAGGCGTCCTTAATCTAGCTGAGCACTTGCACTTTTTCACTGTCGCCATTTGGGTGAAGGTGAGAGAATGTGGAGTTACGAGAGCGAAAGTGCGAAGTCGCCAAGACGAAGGAGCGAAAGTTCGAAGATGCAACGGCGAAAAACGCAGATGCGAAGGCCAGAATTCTAGGGTGCAAAGGCGAAGGAGCTATACTAATATCGCACCTTTGCTTTCCGCCGTCTCATTTTGGCACTTTCGCTCTTTCGTCATCGCAACTTCGCACATTCACCCTCACAATTTCACACTTTCGCTTTTGCATTTTACTGATGTTAAGCTCTTTATCTTTATGTGTTAATCTAAGTGGGCTTTGGGGTGTTATTGGTACGCATGCACTGATTAGTGTGACGGCGCCAAAATGGATGGTAAGCAATTGTTGAAATTAATTGTACAGAATCTTTTTTTTTTTGTTTTAGACTAAATATGCACTTGATTTGTAACCACCGAAGACAAATACATGGGACAGCCTGGTTTGTTGTGTTATGAGTAAGCAGTAATTCTTTAATTTCACGCCTACGGTCTAACTAGTGATGCATCTATACCCCACTTCTTCAAAACATTTCTCAGTTTCAAAATATTATACATCAGACTGTATTTATATATAATTTTTATATTTATTTTGCATAAACGCTTCGCAGATTATCATGATTATAACCTGATTTAGTTTTTAAACATTCATTGTGAAAGTCTATGTTTTCCGAAACATGATAACTGGTAATAAGCTTAAATTCAGTGGTATTAAAAACACCCATTCTTATGCCTATATTGCTATTACATTTCAAAATATTGCGGCAACTTTCTCCTTATAGCGAGAAAGTCAATTAGTTATTTGGATGCGCGTAACTAATTCGTTATAGAGATAATTAATTCATTATATCGACGTATACCGATATATACTGGCGTCGGAATTTCATAAATATTATGGATTCTGTTGAACATTACGCTAGTCGATTGGCCAGATATGAAAAAGAAGACATTGATACCTTGTCAGAATGGATTCTTGTATCAGATCCATGTTAAAGTTGCGTATTAAAAAACATATATGTCTGGTTCTGATTTTTAAAAAGAAGGCTAGAAATAACTTTTAACGGCAAATAATTATAATTTAGTCCGGTATAGATTTTAATCCATTTCGAGGTTGCTGAATACGAAAAAATATGCTTACCTTCGTGAAAATGGTGTTTAAGAGGTCAAAATGGCGATTAAAAATGGCGGACACATCCAATTTTTCTAATTTTCTCTTAATGTCGTTCAAAATGGAGAAGTAATGAATGAATATCTAACTGAGTGTAATAAAACTATAAAGAATATAACAGAATGATAATATTATAAGTTAAACTCAGAAAATTTAGTCGTTTCTACATTTAATTCGATTTTTCTGTGATTTTTGTTTATTGTTTCTATATTCTTCTTTGTTCAGGATTTTACATTTGCAAATATTCATACACTGCAGATTTGTAATTTTCCCTCTACATCTCACTTTTCTACAATTGACTGATGGCGCAGCTGTAAGTTAGAAGTCAAAATGGCGATTCAAAATGGCGGATATTCATCTTTTTCTTCAAATTCTTAATGTCGTTTACATAGGAGAAAGGATTTGTGAATATCTTACTGAGCGTAGTACATTTATGTAAAATGACAATAGAACACTATTATATTTTGATCACATTATATAGGAAAATTTAGTCGTTTAAATTTAAAATTTGTTAATTGCTCAAAATTGCAATTCAAATGACATCTTATATGCACTCGAATTTTGTAAAATACCCAAACTGCTTAATTCTGGTTCCTTTTGCAAAAAATAAATTTAAGTTTGTTTTTTTTTATTCATGAAATAATGTTCAAATATGCAATGAAAGTTGGAGGATATTTTTGTTCATGACTTAAGATTTTTATAACACGGATTTTTGTTTAATAAGATAAATTTATGACGACAATTCCGAAGACATTTTACCTATTACCTGTCTCACCATGCTTCTTCATATAATAAGTTAATCATATCATACAATAATTGCTGTTTTGATGACAAAATGAAAATTTAGCTACCCCAAGAGCAGTATTCCCCGAACATTAAGGCGAGTGAACATTCAATTAATGGAAATTCTTGATCTATATTTAGTCCAGTGTAGAAAAAAAATAAATGCATGTTTATGTTCATGTGGAAGGTCTAGTGCAACATTTTTAATTAAGTATGATTTTTAAAATGATTGACCACGACCAATTAGAGGGCTAGTAATTGTTGTTACATCATATAAATCTGAATATATTATAATATCCAAATATAAACATATGTATTAAGAATTATCAGTATTATATACTAGTACGTAAACCATAGATTTTCTTGATTGTCCAGCTCTGATTCTGTGTCCCTACAATTGCATTTTGTTATTCTCAGCCAAAAATTCAACTCCATTCTCAAATATTTCATGCTGTGAA